AACATTTTCAAATTTGAATCATGCACAAAAATGCCTGTACAGCCACCCAAAAAAAGCCTGAAAAATGACCGAAGACATTCATATATTATTGGGACCCAAGAGACCCCGCACAATGTAACAAAATGACTTCCTCCAGTGATGTGTTCTCTAAAAGCATGTTTCAATGATTGTACTACAGTTTCTCCTATTGATCCCTTTCAATCTCAGTCCTCAGTCCCCTCCGCAGCGAATCCTTAGCCGAGTGTAAGAAATCTAATATTTCTAAAGGTGCCCATACACCTTACGATTATTGGACGATAATCGTATGCGATCGACTTTTCGAACGACAATCGTACGTGTGAATAGAGTGCCCGAACCGACATTACTGTACAATCGTACGACTTTTGACGGTCAAGCATGTTTGAAAACTTTGCTCGATCGTACGATTGTCATAAGGTTGCTGGCGTTTCCGTCCGTCAAAAGTCGTACGATCTACACTGCGCATGCGCAAAAGAAAATACAACAAATCAATTACTGCATTTCGTCCAGGTGCTTCTCGTTAATTACGGCTAAATTAATCTTGCGATCATCAGGGCAGGATGGGGCTGTCGTACGAAAATCGTACGACTATTTGATCATCGGACGAAAAGTTTCGTCCGATAATCGTAAGGTGTATGGGCACCTTAATACAGAGACTCCAGCGATGTCTTAACTTGTGTGACCTTTCCAGTCCTGTACACACCGCTGCAGAAAATCAAGTAGTTTGGCGGAATCAGATGCATTCACATTGTTGATAATAACTCCGAAATTGCTCTCAGCTGTAAAATCTCATCTTATGCTATAAAGCTGCACAAAATACATAGCAATGTACAAAGTCTATTAAATATGATATGCAGCCGCAAAAACATTTAGCTATTGCACAGTTTATGTAGAAGCTTCACACGGCTTGCTTTTATTGTATGGAAGGTCATTGTGGAAGAAGAATCATACTGCTCAGCAGTGGCGGAACAATCGCCATATCGACCCAGGCGGCCGCTATGGGGCCTGGGGCACAGGGGGGCCCGGCCAGGACATCCCCTGATGCCGTGCAGGCTGTCTGGGTCGCTATGGTATCTCAGGCTGCTGTGAGGAGGAACGTCCCGCTGTTCAGGTCACTGACAACCTCACAGGCGCTGCTGAGTCAGTGACAGCCAGCAGCTGCGGAGGAGGAGGAGGAGGCAGGGCCCGGCGTCGGCAGCGAAGGAGGCAGGGTCTGCCTGCAACTGTGGAGGAGGCGGACAGTAGATTGGGGCTGACAGGTAAGAGGTCTGCAGGGGTGTGACCAGTAGCGTAACAATAGCCATAGCTACCCAGGCGGCCGCTATGGGGCCCGGGCACAGGGGGGCCCGGCCAGGACACCCCCCTGATGCCGTGCGGGCCGCCTGGGTCCGAACGCACCGCTGTTCAGGTCACCGTGATCTGTGCAGCGCTGCGTTCTTCTCCACAGCCACTGCTGAGGTTAACTATAAAATCACAGGGCCCCATACAAAATTTTGCTATGGGGCCCTGTGATTTCTAGTTACGCCCCTGGGTGTGACCTGCCCATCTGAGACCCTGCAGAGCCCACCATAGATAGTTTATGGTGGGCTCTACAGGGTCACTCTTAGGTGGGCTGTTTGGGACATCAGGTGGGCTCTGCAAGTGGGCGTAACTAGATTTCTAGTTACGCCCCTGCTGCTCAGTACAGTAAATTAGCGAATAGAGATGAGCAGAGTGATTTAGGTGAAACAGAGTTCTCTGCAAAATGGCAGAAATGTAAAATAAAAAGAGCGAACCTTTACCCCATTTCACTAAAAATCACATCAGCTCTGCATGCCGATATGAAATCATCTTACATGTATTAGTTGAAGAACAACTCTAAGCAAAGTTTGTATTAACCTTTGCACTGCTGCTACACCACACTGCAAGGGTTAACTGCTCATTTTCGTCTAGGGGCTAAAATAGAAAGTTATACTCACCGGAACTTTGGAGCCGGCCGGCTGTCACAGCACTCCCTCCAGCCTGTCTCCTCCTCTGGTGCAGCGATAGCATGTCCCTTGTCCAATACACAGTATATTGGATGCGCTGACTCTACAATCCTTAGTCCACTGCAGTGGAGGAGGAGGCAGCCATTCTGAGGATCGGGTGAGTATAACTTTTTAATAGTTTTATTTTAGTCCCTAGACCAAAACCAGCACTTAATTAACCCTTGCAGTATAGGATAGCTCAACTGCAAGAGTTAATACAAATTTTTCCCGGAGTTCTGCTTTAAATAAACATTTGTATGCTTTTACTTACTGTTTTTCCACTTCCTCTTTAAGTGAGGCACTGGCAGGGCCGGTGCTGCCACTAGGCAAACCCGGCAGCCACCTAGGGCGTACTGCTGCCTAGAGTGCAGTCTAGACCACTCACCCCCCTCCATGGTGCCACCCCATCTATTTCAAATTGCAAAAGCCAATGGCAGGCTGGCTATTGCACCCACTCAATGAGCAGAGGAGCGGAACTGAGAGACAACTTTTTCTCTCAGGTCCGCTCCTCTGCTCAGTGGGTGGGGTTTTAATAGCCAGTCTGCTATTGTCTATTTCAAATAAAATAGCCAATATCAGTCTGGCTATTGCTCCCGGCTGCTTACATCCACCTGTCACATGCAGAAGCTAGCCGACAGGAGAATGGAGCCACGCGGGGGGAGGGATTGGGGGTTGCACTGCAGGAGGGGGGATGGGGGGGTGCAAGTAGCTGGTCTTGCCTAGGGTTCCTAATAGTCTAGCACCAGCCCTGGGCACTGGTGATGTAGCCATGGCCTCACAGATGTATCCTGGGAAAGGGACATCATCAGTGCCTTCCAAGGAAATCTCATCTGTAAACTTCTTGGAGGATTTTGGAGGGAAAGGCATTTTTCGCCCAGAGATGATGTTCACTGTCACATGTTTCAGGAGGCAAACCCAGAGTTCCAAGAAGTAAAGGGAGATATATTCATCTGCCCTCAGTGAATATGTAACAGTGAGAAGAATGGGGAGGAAAGAAAAAAAATAAGGTATGCAAGGAATACAAATCCTGCAATTATCTAGATTGTACAAATTCCCACGGGCAGGGCCCTCCTTACCATATTTTCATGACTTGTATTGTGATTGTAATGTCTTCCTTATATTGTAAAGCGCTGTGCAAACTGCTGGCGCTATATAAATCCTCTATAATAATAATAATAATCTATAAGTACCTGTTTGTAAATTGTCATTTCTAAACATTTCTAAAGATACCTTTGTTGTCATTTTTAAGATAAGGGCGACGTTCTTCTGTCTTCTCCGTTGTCCACTGGCCATGAACTCAGCTAGACATTTGTAACTATTTTATGTAAATACAATGACCCGGAGGTCAAGGCATGTAAATAAAGGCAAAGTCTAGGGGAAACCCCTTAAAATGTTTTCCTTTTAAAAATAAATTGTGTCACTACCATAAAATTGTCTTTTGAAATTTGGTCACATGACCTGCTTCTAAAAAAAAGGAAGAGGAATGATGCAGAGCAGTGGCGTAACAATGCACAGAGGGGCACAGATGCCGTGCGGACCGCCTGGGTCGCTATGGGAACCTCTGCTGGTGGCTTTCACTGGCGGCTGAAGACGAACACGCCGCTGTTCAGAGCACTGACAGTAATCTGTGCAACAGCACGTTCCTCTCCACAGAGTCAATGAGAGCCAGCAGCGGCGGTGGCGCAGGCTGGACCCGGTAGTGGAGGAGGAGGCAGGGCCCGTGTTCGGCAGCAGGGGAGGGGGCGGGGCCCGGTGACGAAGGAGGCGGGCCTGGCGACAGAGGAGGCGGAGCCCATCAGTGACCGTGGAGGAAGAGGAGGCGGACAGGTAAGGAGTGCGACCAACCCACCTGAGGGTGACTCTGCAGAGCCCACCATAGAGAGTCTAGAGGTGGGTTCTCGAAGGGGCTCTGCAAGGGGTATAACTAGAAATCATGGGGCCCCATACAAAATTTTGCTATGGGGCCCTGTGATTTCTAGTTACACCCCTGATGCAGAGGCACCAGTTCAGGGGTGGGCAACTCCAGTCCTCCAGCTGTGCTTTAACTACAAATCCCTCCATGCCTCTGGGAGTCATGCCTGTGACTGTCAAAGTCTTGCAATGTCTCATGGGACTTTTAGTTCCACAACAGCTGGAATGCTGGAGTTGCCCACCCCTGCTCTAGTTGGTAACTTGTGATGTACTGGGGATGTTCTAGCTGGTAAGGTGTTGATGTCACTAAAGGCTTCCATCTGGAGTGTATACTCTATACTGCCACGCTGGTAGGGCTCATGTACACAGGCATATAACATGCCGAGTTCAGATTTGTAGCGTGTACAGTTTTTTTATGGATCTGAGCACAGCAGTATTGCATGCAATAGGCCAGGGATAGCCAAACTCCAGCCCTCCAGCTGTGGTGAACCTACAAATCCCATGATGCATCTCTCTCCGGGAGTCATGTCTGTGGCTGTGAGAATCTTGCAATGCCTCATGGGATTTGGAGTTCCACCGCAGCTGGAGGGCCGGAGTTTGGCCACATCTTCCTTGTCTTTGCTAATAGAGTTTTTTGTCATGAGTACCATTTCTAACTATGATCATATGAAGAAATATATATATTGCATGTATAGAGTATTGATGAATTATCGATCACACTGTCATACCATCTTAGAACTGTGCTGCAATCAGTTCAGGTGGCCAGCAATGCTCCTCTGGTGCCCTGAATGCTTATCCAATTGTAGCTGATAGCTGTCCCATTACTCTATATCAGTGGTAGGTAACCCCGGCACTCCAGCTGTTGGGAAACCACAAATCCCATGATGCCCCTGGCTCTGGCAAGTATTCCTGTAGCTGTCAGAGTTTTGCAATGCCTCATGGGACTTGTAGTTCCACAACAGCTGGAGTCCCGAGGTTGCCCTCCCCTGCTCTTTACACTTCCATGTGTTCCACGTTGTTAAACAGGAAGGCGTTGCTAATGAAAAGCATATTAAAATCACAAACCTCATCTTCGGTAGAAAATACGCCGTACGGCAAATTCCGGATAGGAAAATCGCAATCCGCTTCTACGGGGATGAAAGACATTGCAGCGAGACGGTCACAAAGACTCCCAAAACTTCAATGATCTACAAACATTGCATCTCACTCCAGATGTGTCACATCAAAGCCTCAGCTTCCTTCTCTCCATCCAATCCGCATCAGAGGAGCTCCTCCACCCCTGACACTCCACTAATCAAATCCAGGGTCAGCATGACTCAGCCCATTCCTGCGAGCAAAGTGCACACACTATACCACCCGAAATTCGAGCACTCGTTCTTGCTGCTGTGCATTCTAAAGGAACATCTGAAGTCCCAAATACAATACAATATACATTATTAATGATGTAAGATAGAAGAAAATAGAGTGTGTGTAGAGTAACAGAGTGAAAGTGACTCGGTTGCTTCCAAAAAATAATAAAGAAGTGCCAGTAAAAGATAAAACGGAGCTCCTGACAGATATCGAAGACGCAAATGAATGCAGCTCTGTCATTATTAAGGCGTAAAGTAGTATTAAACTCTCAGGCTAGGTTCAAACCTGAGCGATACCCAGGATGCGCATCCTGTGACCGTGCGATCGTGTGCTAGTGCACACAGCGGATGGGTGTGGCCCCATTGATTTCAATGGGCTTACATCCGCGCAGCAATCGCTAAAAAAAAGTAAAAGTACCTTTTTTTGGGATACATGACGCGCTGCTTTTTAGTATTGTTAAATTGCATGGGCAGAATTGCAACAGGAAATCGCGCGATCTGCCCGGCATGACTGGGATGCAGTGGCCCGAGGCGTCCATACAAAATTTTGCTATGGGGCACTGTGATTTCTAGTTACGCTCCTGCTGGGATGCCATTAGAAAATATTGGCACCGCCAACGCGATCAGCTGTGGTGGGTGACTCTGTGATCGCCCGGCAATCCACGCTTTTTTTGCACGATTGCCGCACGGATCGTTAAGGTGTGAGACTAGCCCCAAAGTTATTTTTTTTAATAATGAATCCAGATCAAACAAATAAACATTGCCCAGAAAAGTATTTCTTTACATTTTTTGCCCAAGAACTACAGTCGTCATGTTTCCAGACAGCTCAAACTCTCTTAGCTCCACTTCTCTCAACTTACTGTCCAGTGTAAGATTTTAGCACACACAAGGGTGGCTCCATAGGACCCTGCATGGAAAAGGAGCCACACAAAATACCAGGGCAAGTGCTCAGGGGACCAGCTGATTCTGCAGGAAGCTTAAACTTTTAAACATCAAGCAGCAGCATCCATTGTAAGTGATTTCATCAGCATTTAAAATAGCTTAAAAACCTTAAAGGCTCATTCAGACGGACATGCACGCCCATGCAGCGTGCACACCCATCAAAAGACCCAATCTCAGAAGGGACAGGTGCTGCGTGTAATTGAGCACAGCAGCCTGTTTTTCCCTATCGGAGGATGAGGCTGCGCAATTACTGTACATGCAGTCACACACACCCAATCCTGCACATCTGTGCGGGTCCAGGTGTCCGCACTTGGACACGCACTGCCTGCGATGTGCAAGTACGGGTGAGTGTGTGACAACATGTAATTGCGAGCAGCCGTGTCCTCCCACATAGGGGTCTATTTATAAACAATTCACAGAGCCATTTGCCCTGCAAATCTCGGTGCAAATGTATATTTTCCTTTCAGGTCGAACGTAATGTTATACCAAATTACGGCCACCAGATGGAGCTGAGAAGCAGAGGAAATAAGATTTTTTTTTCTATGCTCCTCGTCTCCATCTGGTGGCCATTATGAGTATTACATCGGAACTGAGAAGAAAATATACTAAGAATGTTCATTCATTTATTTATTTATAGAGCGCCGACAATTTACGCAGCACTTTACATAGTTGCACATTCACATCAGTCCCTGCCCTCAAGGAGCTTACAATCTAAGGTCCCTATCTCACATGCATACATATGAGGGCCAATTTAGACAGGAGAAAATTAACCTACCAGCATGTCTTTGGAGTGTGGGAGCAAACCGGAGTACCCGGAGAAAACCCACACAAGCACAGGGAGAACATGCAAACCCCTTGTCAATAATGACCTGGCTGGGATTCGAACCAGGGACACCACTGGTGACCCCGTAATATAAATGAGAGTATCCAAATGTTATCACATGTAATGTATTTTAAAACGCCACTGTGCTGTCCTTGTTGGTCTATTGGCACAGAACTAATGTTCATAGAGTTTCAGAGAGCAAATGGCCCTGCAAATAGTTTATAAATAGACTCCTATCCCTATGTGTATGATTAGTAATGGGTAGATAAAAGAGGTGAATAGACGACTAGTCAAAATACAATGATTTCAAACATTACACTAAGTACAACAACTTAGAACTGAAACTTCTCATGCACATTATTGGATGTTTGAAGAAAACACAGGTTTACTTTATTCACAGTTTAGTAAATCTGCCCCAAACTATGCCATCCATGCAAACACAGGTCTGTCCAAATACAACAGTGGTAATCAGTACAGCAGCTTGTAACTGGAAGGACAGGAGCCATCTTCACGCCTGGCCATTGGTTGCTCAGGTCTGAGCGCTGTCATTTGGGGAAGGTCACATGCATACCTTGCTGGGAAGGGGGGAGCTTCCAGGAAATATTATTACTTTAACTTTACCCTGATTGGCCAGGTGACAGTGTTTCTTATAACAGGAAAAAAATAAGTTTGTATTTCCTTCTCATTATATGCTGACAATGCAGGATCCACACAGCTGCCTCTCTAGAACCAGAGCCAGCTGTGCCCACTCCCTCCCATCTGTCCCTCCAATGTGTGCTGGAGGAAAAGAGAAGGAAGGGGAGAATCCCTGCAGACTGACAGTCACTGACAAGAATTGGGAAGAGTATATTTTACTCTCCCAATACTTCTCCTTTAATAACCATTTCCTTCTAGCTAAATTGTTCTGTGTTGACAGAATCTTTAACAAAAAAAAATGTTTTTAATCATTATTTGGTAGGAGGGAAGACATCTACTGGCTGATTTCATAATGATATATTCCAGTCTTATTCTATATAAGAAGTTCAGCCAGTATTTTGTTTATAATAACCACTTAAAAATCAAAATCAAGAACAAATGATTTTATGTACAACCGTTTTTTTCATTGTTTTAGGAAAAAAAAGTTTTCTTATAGTGAATAAGGTGAATATTGTGCACTTATTCTGGGGGGAAAATATATATATATAATGTTACTAATATTATTAACTCATATGTGAAGCAATCATGAGATTAGAGAAATATATAGTCTTCTATTGACATAACCTCTGCATAAAAATGCACATTTTCCTCTGACATCATCACTTTATTATACAATGGGTATGCAGCAAGGGAAGTAAACGTGCAATCAGACCTGCAGCATGTATACTTGGGCTGACAATACTATAATACATGCAGAGGATCAATATGAAGGGTCTCATTTATCATTTCCAGGAGTCAAGTAATTGAAGCAAGTAATATTTCAGCACGTGGTAAGATTTGTTCAAGTAACTTGTAATTAACATACCACGAAAACTGAGACTTTAAAAGTTAGGTTTACCTTTCAGACTATAATATGTTTCATGTTGAAACTATATTCATGGTCAGATCGCAATATCCACCCCCCCTCCTTACGCACCAACTTACCTGAATCTTGGAGTCCCCCGCAGGCTTATGTTACTTTCTGAATTTGACAAGGATCTGTGAATTGAGAATCTACAAGTCCTATCAGCCACCACAGCAGAGGCACATCACCACACTTTTAGTCCATTCATTCTTCCTTCCATCCATGTTAGTGAATGCCCATACAGAGGAGTCTGCAGGAGCCAGAGCACTGTACCCATCCAACAAATAATAATAATAAATACACATTTTTTTATGAAGAAGTCTGCATTTATTATTATTATTCATTATTTTTAAAGGTGGAATTTGCCTTTAACAGCACAACATGGAATTTCTAAAATAATTTACATATTCAAATCTCTTTGCTGTGACTTCTCATCTGAACAATCTTTTGAGTGAGGCTCCCACTAAAAAAAATCTCATCTCTTCCCAAATTTCTGATAGCTTGTATGATATAAAAAATATGCTGCAATACTGCCAACTGTGTTCCCGCAAGCATTCCAACAGTGTAATAGTTCATATATATTTTTAAACATTGCTGTCGATCATCTGTAAATCACAGATATTCATGAACTTGCTCTGTAATGTTTATACATTAACGATCAGAAATAGTTTCTTGGAAACGCCATTCACTGCTAATTGTTCCTCTTCACAGAGTTCACAATGTCCACATTTCTTAATATGTTTCATTTTCCCTATTGTAGACCATTCTGCGCCTAGTGACCCTTTGTTTCCTTTGCATGTACTTGCAGACCTCTACAGTAATCTTACAGTCATTAGACTTCCAGTTTATTCACCGTGGTTTTTATTTTCTAATTAGTGTATTAGTTGTATTACAAAGTGATTTACAACTGCAAGATGTCAAACATATTTTGCAGATCGTTTTAAATCAGAGGATCACCATCAACCAATCACTGAACTCCTTGAATTCTGTGTAAATAATACTAGGAGTTTTGTGAATGTGTGAGGGGGAGGGCAAACAGCACTGAGCCTTCACTGTTAAAGAGGAGGCAGTTAGAGGAGTAGGATTGAGAGAGTGAAATGTACTCTTCCCAATACTGAGAGCTGATGCCAGCACCATAGATCATGACTAGTGACGGTACGAATTTTAGAACATGGAAAAAGTTCAAACTCGAACTTAGAACTCAGTGAAAGTCTATGGGACCAGAACTCTGAATATCAAATGTCCCCATTTTGAAGACTTGTATGCACGTTTTTGGACATAAAAAGTGTATGGGGATTCGGGTACTGCCCTGGGGAACATCTATCAATACAAAAAACACTTTTTTTAAAAATACAGTTTTTAAAGGAGCAGACCAGTGATTTTAACATTGCTTAAAGTGAAACAATAAAAATGGAAAATTCCTTTAAATATGGTGCCTGGGGGGTCCCCTTAAACTGCCTGTAAAGTGGTGCATCTGTATGATGTATAGAACCTGCTGCAGCAAAACTGACATTTATAAAAGAAGAAAAAAAAATGTGCGGTTCATCCTCCCAAACAATACCAGACCCTTTAGGTCTGGTAGGAAGGTTAGGAGGGACCCC